GAGGAGGAGGAGGAGGAGGAGGTGGAGATGGAGGAGGAGGAGGAGAAAAGCGGTTCCGGGCCGGTGTCGGCGGTGGAGGAGGCGGCTTTGGAGGAGGTGGTGATGGACGTGGGACCTCTAGCGGCTCTCCCCAGGCGGGGGCGGGAGATGCTCAGGCCCATCCTGAGGGAATTCGTGCGCCACGTGACGCCCGCCCTGGTCCCACGGCTCATGATCCGGCTCCGACACTAGGGTGTGGATCCCGCCCTCTCCAGTCCATCGAGAGGGTGGGAGGGCCTCGGCCGTTCCGGGCTGGCCCCCGCAGGACTAGGACGGAGGAGGGCAGACGGCGGGGGCGAGGGGAGAGCGGAAAGGGAAGTGCCGGGGGAGGGAGGGATTGAGGGGCCGGGGTGTGGGCGAATGCAGAGGAGTGGGGACGGCAGAAGGGCCGGGGAGGGGAAGGTTGTCGAGGAGGGCGGGAAATGGGGTGCGGAGGGGGAGGCAGGGAAGGAAAGGTCCCCGACTGCGAGATGGGGTAGGAAGGGAGGTGCCTAATGGGTGCGCGGGGACCTCGCACCGTGGGCACGCCTGTTTGTCTCTCTGCCGACGTGGGCCGTTAAGCATGACACATACATAGGGCGACGGTTAAAATTTAAATAAAGGTGTGCGAAAATTCATTAATCCTCGTGGAGCGGCGGGTAAGAGGTTTGAAGGGGGGCGGTTGAAACAACGAGCAGGCAGCAGGGCAGGAACAAGTAATGGAACGAAGAAACCACGCCCGGTCCGTGGCACCCGGCGTAAGCCCTTGTCCGACAGACCTTTTGAGGCCGTGTCAATTAATGTCTCTTCCGTTCCCTTTTCCTCCCGTCGCTCCTTCTCGTGACCATCGCTGCGTCCAGGGTGGCCACCTTCCCTTCCCACCGACCCCCCCTTCAGCTTGCGCATGCACACAGGCACGCTGCACAGCACGGGTTCCAGACATCATTCCACTGGCCCATTGCCCTCTGTCTAGCCCGCGCGTCTAGAACCATCCTGACCGCAACCACCATCACGAGCACACGCCGTTCCCTCCCTCCCATCCCGCCTTACTCCGACTCCTCCCCTGCGTCGTCGTCTGCTCCTCCTCCTCCCGCCGCGGCCGCCCTTTGAGCCTCCCGGCGACGGGCCACGCGACCTTTCCTGCCCTGTCCGTAGGGGGACGTGGTGGAGAAATCGATGTGCTTCTCCGAGTCCACGCGCACCAAGAAGGAGGGAATGTTGACGAGCTGCTTCCCGACCCGGATGTGGCGCTGTCGGATCAGGACACGGGCATGGTGGATGGACTTGGCCAAAGACTGCTTGAAGACCTTGGTCTGAGGAGGAAGGAAGGGAGGAAGAGAGGGAGGAAGTGGGGAAAGAAGGAGGGGCATAATTAAGCAGTGCCGAGGGGTTTACCGACGTGATGCCGATAGTTACATCTCTATGCTTCTAATCAGTCTAAGCCCCCGGCCAAACGGAACTGCCAAGCATGACACGGATAAGTGCAGGCGACTTTAACTGCAGCTTCCCTCTCTTCCACTCTACGGCCACCCCACCTCCACACACAATGTCCACCTTCCCGTACCTGCAAACGTCGCTCCAACAGCTTTTGTGTCGTCAATTGTAAGACGAAATCCAACTCCGCCTTATCCTGCTCGAGGAGACCGGCGCGGACGCAGCGTCGCAGGAGTGCCGGGCCCTCGAAGACTCGGCGCGGGTCCTTCTCGTCCAAGGTCAACAGCTCACGGGCTGCTTTACGGATCTTAGCCAGCGCAAATTGCACACGCCAAATCTCTGCCTTGCACCGAAGACCGTACTCGCCGCACAGCTTCAGTTCTTGGTCGAGGCGCTCTTTCTCGAAGGGGCGACGCGGAGTCTTGTCCGTCTTCCGGTCTGGGGAAAGACAAGAGGGAAAGAGGAGTCAGTGCACACGCCGCGACGATTTAGCATAGGGCGGGAGACTAGGCACTTACAATTCCGACGAAAAGCAATGGAAGGCATACTTGACCCTGTGATTGTCGTGCGTGTGGTAGGAAAGCTTAGCAAGGTGGGAGGATGCATGGTGCCCTGGCCGAACGCTTGATTTCTCCTTCCCCACAAGACACCGTGGTCCATGGACATGCTTTTCACCACAAACCACTCGCATGTGGGCTTGTAAAACATACACTGTGGTGTGTCCGCACGGGGTGATCACCAACGTAGTTCACCGTGGAGGTGCATTTACAGCTACCACCCCCCCATCAAAGCCTGGTGGAGAGAAAGAAAGAAGCAAAGGGAAGGGCTGGACACGACCGCGCCTGCGGTGGTCACCTCCGCTGCCGCAGCCACCCACTCTTCGGCATCACACACTACATTATTTGCCATCGTGTCCGGGTCAACACAACACGTGGGCACCGCACGACACCTCCAACGCGTGACGGGCTCGATGAAGGGAGGGAGTGGTGGATGGCGAGCGAGCGGCGGGGAGCAGGTCGGAGGATGACCACACGCACATGACCAAATGGCCACCGGGGGGGGGGAGATCTCCCATACACCCCGTGGCCACGGCCACCAGTCTTTTTGTAAGGCAGAAAGATGGATACCGGGCAATGTCAGGGATGGTTTGTCGCTAGGTGCAGCGGGTTATTATTTTGTGGCAGACATGGCCGTGGGCATAATGTGCCAGCCACTCGCTCCTCGACGACGTACTCCTCTACACGACGAAAAACCAGGAGTATCCCGCCTGCCGATATCCCTCACAACCCCCTTTTTCCTCTCCCGTTCCTTGACCATCACCGTCATGCGCCTAACGATACACCAGCTATGCGGATATTAAAGTGCTATTTTTGCTCGGGCCCCATGTATCCGGGGCATGGAACCACCTTTGTCAGGAATGATGCCAAGGTACGTCTGGAGGGCCTGGGTCGCACCCTGCTCCCTCGTCTGTTTGGCCTATCATTTCCACTGGCGGGGTGGATCATATACTGTCTCAATACAGACGGAGTATGAGTTGCTTGCTAAACAAAGCAGAGCAAAGTGAGCCTGTTTCATTCTCCTCATGTGTACCTCTCCACCTACGTCCGTCCCTCCCTGGCCCTTAGGTTTTCAATTTTTGCCGCTCAAAATGCCACCGAAATTTCAACAAGAAACGCAATCCCCGCAAGACCCGATGGACGAAGGCATATCGGAAAGCAGCAGGGAAGGAAATGGTGGTGGACGCGACCTTTGACTTTGAGAAGCGGCGAAATCGCCCCGTGAAATACGACCGAGACCTTGTTGGAAAGACTGTCCAAGCCATGCAGAAGATACGCACCATCCAATCTCGGCGCGAAGAAGTTTTCTACCAGACACGTATGCGTGAGGCAAAGATGAAGGAGAAGGCCGCATTGCAAGTGGAAGTGAAGGAGAATGTGGAGTTGTTGGCGCCGGCTGCGGCGTCCCGGGAGAAAGCGCTGCTCAATGTGCGGGAGAAGGTCAAAGAGCGCCAGGCTGTGCGAGCCGCGACGAAGGCAGGAGGAAAAGGGAAGGGTGGACAGAGGGGAGGGAGTGGGGAAGGGGAGGGGGGTGGAATGGATGTAAGTTAAGAAAGGAAGAGGAGGGCATACGATGCGGTTGGAGGGTAGAATCTGGAGTTTCTGCGGGTGGTGATTTTCTGGACCTTTGTAAATAGCAGGTACGATGAGTGCCAGGTGGTAAACGGGTGTAGGGACCGAAACGTCCTCTTCGAAGTGCGCTTCCTCGCGTCATCAGGACACGAGAAATTGTCCCAAAAGAAAAGAAGAAAGGACAGAAGAAAACAATCTTTTTGTTTTCTTTATCGTCTTTCAATGGTCAGAGAGCTGCTGGATGGAGATTTCAGGACTCGCGCGTTGACGTGTCGCCTGTTCCTGTAAAGTGATCTCCAACGTAGGCCCGTTCAGTTGAGCTTCTCAAGGTGGGATATCATCTCCCGTTACAACGATACCGCATGTTTTTGCCTTTTCCAAAAGCTCGATGTCCGCCTTCACAGCCAGCATTTCCTTCTCTTGTTGAACCTGGCGACGCTGAGCTCCCGAACTTTGGAACCGCCCGTGGTGGGCCGTTTTCTGGTAAACCGCATTCAGGGTATCCCATTTTGCCTTGAGCCCGACGATTAAACCTTGCATCTCGTCCTCTTTCAATATCTTGTCCGTGGGGCGTTCCTCTGCGTTTCGTTTCTTGACTGTCTCATGCCCCGAGAATTGTCGGGCAGCTAAAGCTTTGATGACTGCATCTTCCTGTGCAATCTCATGTTGTACCCTTCGGAGATACATAGGTACCTTGCCATAACATTCTTTCTTGAGATAATCGATTGATTCGTGTCCATTATTATACTTCTTCCTTGTCCCATCTTCAAATTTATGTTCCTCACGTGTATCGTTTATCACCTCCCATGCATTGGCGCGTAGAAAATCCACTTCACTGTGCAAACCCATAAACGCTGGTGGAGTTCGAGGTAAAGGGGGCTTGGTCGGCATTGTTTTGGGGTACTCAAACGACGATACCTCGGCTTTAGCCGTCACCCGTTGTTTTTTTTCCCCGCCTTTCAAATATTTTTGAGGAATAGCTGCATGCATGTGCAATGGCCTTCCGAATGTCGCATGTGATTTTTTAGAGAAACGGCCTGTCCCCAGCACGTGGGGCGCCCCAAAGCATCCGAAAGTGGACGCCAAGGGAGGAGCTTTTTGCGCGGCTTGCAGTTTGCGAGAACGGTATAAAGTGCGTGCAGGCTGAGGGGGCGCAGATTTTGGAAGCAAATCGTAGATTAATTCAGGCTGAATATTTTCTAATTCCATTTTAAGGAGACTCTGGCGTAGGATTGAGGGCAATAATGATAGAAGAGGCTAAGAACGGGGTAATACGTAAATTTATTCATGAGCAAGCGGAGGGAGGATCTATGGGCTCAGGCACGATTTTCCTCCCGCAGACGGGCACCAAGCTGAGAAGTTCCCCAAATCGATGACACGCTGAAGGCCGCGTTCGAAAAATCGTGCGCCGTGGGGGCGGCCGAAACGGTCCTCAACGGTTTTGGCGGTTCCCTCGGTCTTTCGGGGGCTACCCGGAACTTGCCCGGGGAGGCGCGAAAAGCGGGAGCGTGGAAAGAGATTTTCTTGCCCCGGTCCTGCTGGGAGTGGGTGCATGGGTACGATTTTCGTGTGCTTTGTTGATTACTGCCTGCAAACGCCTGTCGGATGATTCATGCGTACTATCGATGGCATGGCGGCGGAAACCAGGGAGAGTTCTTCCTCAAGCATCGCGCCCTTCGCCAAGGTGACTCTTCTGCGGCGACAGGTGTGATACACATCGTCCCCAATTATGCCTCTAACACTCATTAAAATGGCGATCATTTGAGCAGGTGATTATGAACGGTCGGGGTGGCGGACGTGGGGGCAGCAATAATGGTGGTAATCGCAATTGGAAGGACCAACAGAAACGCGGTGGAAGTAATTATGGGGGCAATGGTGCTGCCGGAGGACCGCAAAAACGTCCGAGAAACGGCACTGGAAACGATGGTGGGGACAACGACGATGATTTTGGAGAAGAGTTTCTTGAACTCGAAGATCAAATAGCCGCGGAGTTGGCTGCGGACCTTCCCCCGGAGGAGTACGAGCAACTAAACGCCTCATCCACGGAGACCATCAACGAAGACACAAAGCTCAGTTGGCGGCGCCCTTCCGTCCCACCGCTGGACGTGAAGAACGAGTCCTTAACATTGCAGTGGCTCGATGTGGACATGACCGTGGGGAAGCGGTTGGAAAAAAATCCCGCAGGAGGACGTGTGCCAGGCGCCCCCTCTGGCCTTGTCCCGATCCTGCGCTTCTATGGCGTCAGCCCCGTGGGGAACTCGGTGGCGGTTTTTGTGCATGGCTTCACCCCGTATTTGTACGCCTCCTGTCCCGCCTCTTTCATGGGCTCGGAGGCTTCCTTCCGCAAGGCGATGAACGACCGTTTGCTTGCAGACAGACAACGGGGAGGGAACCGAGGGGGCGGGGGCGCGGCGGGAACTGAGTCAAATGATCTGTGCTTGGGCGCCAGCATCGAGACGGATAAACGGTCCATTCTAGGATACGTCGCCGATCCCAACCAGACATTTTACAAAATATACGTGGCCACGCCTAATTTGGTGCCGACCGTGAAGCGGGTCTTGGAGGACGGCTTGGAGGTGCCTGGCTTCGGCCGCTTGCACGGAGTCCTGACCTTCGAGAGCAACGTCCCCTTCGTCTTGAGGTTCATGATCGACAAGGACATCACGGGCGCGGGCTGGTTGGAGTGTCCGAAAGGCACATACCGTGTGCGGGGCGAGCGGGAGAAGGAGAGCCATTGCCAGATCGAGGCCGACATCGTCTACGAGTCCCTGGAAGGGCACCGACCGGAAGGACAGTGGAGCAAGCTGGCCCCGTTGCGGATCCTCTCCACGGACATTGAGTGCCAGGGCCGGAAAGGGCACTTTCCAGAGGCGGAGAAAGATCCGGTCATCCAGATCGCCAACTGCCTCACGGTCCAAGGGGAGCGGGAGCCGATAGTCCAGAACGTCCTGACCCTCCGCGGCTGCCTCCCCATTGTTGGCGCGCAGGTCCTCACTCACGAGAAGGAGGAGGACCTGTTGCTGAGCTGGCGGGCATTTGTTCAGGAGGCGGACCCGGACATCCTAACGGGCTACAACATTGCCAACTTCGACCTGCCCTATCTGTTGCGACGCGCCGACACCTTAGTCAAACGCGCGCCCAAACTTAAGGTGTTCAAGGAGCTGGGCCGACTCCGCCGCACTCTAGCGACGATGAAGGACACGACCTTCCAGTCCTCTGCCTACGGGAAGCGCGAGAACGTGGAGACGACCGTGCACGGGCGCGTGGTCTTCGACCTCCTCCCATACATGTTCCGGAACCACAAGCTCTCCTCCTACTCCCTGAACAGTGTCTCGGCCGAGTTCTTGGGCCAGCAGAAGGAGGACGTGCACCACTCAATCATCTCGGACTTGCAGAACGGCACGGACGAGGACCGGCGGCGCTTGGCCGTGTACTGTATCAAAGACGCGCTCTTACCCTGGAAATTGATGGAAAAGGTACCCTGAACAGGAGGGAAGGGGTGGGGGAGGGATGAGGGACAAAGGGGAGGGACGATAAGAGCTTTGGACGTCTTTCTTCTCGGGGAGGGCTCTGGGGGGTTTCCTTCACGTTGGCCCTCGGGCGCCCATTTTCTGATGGACCCTATTCCTCCCTCCCTCCCTCTCTCCGTCCCTCCCTTC